TAAATTTAGCTAAAATAGCTATAATAAGCCTAAAGCTTCTAGCAGCTAGAGTAGCTGCATAGGTATCTTTTTTGTTATAAAGTTGTTAGTCCTCTCTAATATATAATCTAGCTTTTAGCTTAACTAGATAGCTGAATTTATCTAGCTTATACTTAAAGACCTAAGTAGTATCTAGAGCTTTAAATATAGCAAGATTTTCTTAAATAGGCTCGAACGTTCCTTGCTGCTAATTTGTACTAAATTCTTGTTTAGCGGCTTTTTAAAATTCCTTGCTAAATCTATAGTGCCTTAAATCTAACTATTTTAGCGGTTTAGAGGGCAAATTTAATATATAAAGGCTCTCTTTAGCTCCTTAGAAGAAGCTGCTTATATAAGCTTGCTTAGTCAGCCCTTTAGCTGCTAGCGCTATTTCCTAATTTAGTTTAGCTGCATCGCTAGCCTGAATTGCTATATTACTAGCCTAAGCTATATTGCTAGCGTTATTAGCTATATAATGCGATGTAGGGCTTAAATAGCCGAATTAATCCGTAATATTAGGTAGTCGCTCGGATAATTAATCTTCTAGTTCCGGCGGCTTCTTGGATAATAGTTGATCCGGCCGAATAGGTAGTTTTTCTATAGATATTTAACCGGATAAAGGTTCTTCCGATTGACTAGGGTGTTGGATAGGCTCTTTAAAGTGTGTAAAATCCTTATATTTATTCTTATCTTTAATATAAGCCGGCAGATAGATTTCTATCCGGCTTTTAATAGGTTTAGAGCCCTCTATAGGGTAGATAGATAACTCATTAAAAGTTACATCCCTGACCCTTCTAACTTTGTTGCTAGAAGGTACCTAAATTCAGTATATATTTATTGAATTATAGCTTACTAAATAGCCTATTTTAGCGTAGGGTTCTGTTTTAGGGCTCGTTTTTAATGACCTTGCATAGCTTGCTTAGTAAGCAGATAAGCCTTACAGCTATAGGCCTTTAAATGCTCTATATTAGGTTTTAAATAGTTAGTATAGCTAGTATCTAGCTTATTTTCAGCTAGATAAGCATGTAATCTTTTGAAAGGTGTAGCTTAATAAGCGTTTTTAGGTTCTTCGTTAGGATTTTTAGGGTTTTTAGATATATAACGTCTTAGGGTTCTGTTGTATAAATAGACGGCAGCTAACTAGAATTCAGGCTATAATTTAGAGGGTAAATTCGAAGATAGCCTTAAAACCCTAGCTTTAGTAGCTATAATACCCCCTGACCGTTCTACAGGGCTATTTTAAGCAGGGGTATAAGGGGCTGTAGGCTTATCTATAATGCCGGTTTCAGCTAACTAAGCACTATAATCTAGTTAAAGGCCTGGATTGTTATCTCTGTAAATAATGCAGATATTCTGCTGAAATTGTGTCTTTATAAGAGCCTTTAGGGCTTTTAGAGCCTCTAATATAGCCTCTTGTGTTATTAAATATAATAGATAAATAAAGATAATAGCAGTATAGCTATCTTTAGCTAATAATACTGCATTTTAACTGTTATAAGCCTTTTCAAGCTAAAATATATTAATATAAAGCCTATAGAAAGGCCTAGGGCTCTAAATAGAAGGCCTTCTAGATATAATTCTAGTTGCCTTAGCTAGA